TCTAGCTATCTATCTATCTAGCTAGCTAGCTAGCTATCTATCTCTCTATCTATCTATCTACCTATCTATCTAGCTATCTATCTATCTATCTATCTATCTATCTATATATCTATCTGTTTATCTATCTATCTATCTATCTATCTATCTATCTATCTATCTATCTATCTATCTAGCTATCTATCTATCTATCTAGCTAGCTGTTTTGACATAATATTACTACGAGTATAAGATCGTGTACAGACTTTAACATGCACATGTGCCAATTGGTTGTCTAGTTAAATACATGTATGTGTGACAAACGGTGGACACATGCTTACGTGTGTGTGTGTGTGTGTGTGTGTGTGTGTGTGTGTGTGTGTGTGTGTGTGTGTGTGTGTGTGTGCGTGTGCGTGTGTCCGCTAGTGTGTCTGGAAAACTGTCAGTCCGTCCGTTCTGCAGCTAATGACGTGCGTGCCCAGCTGTTGTTGCTTGGAATTTTCAACAAAAAATTGTTTTTGTCCGACAGTTTTGCATCTTCAATAAAGCCATAGCTATATTTTTGTTTCTTATCCGCCTTGTTCCCAGTTGATGTCGTGGAAGAAATTGGAAGCCCTGCCCCTGAAACAAACGAGGGGGGGGGGCCTCTCGTGTTCAAGAGATTACGGTGTTCGACTGTTCGCCTCTCATTCAAGAAGTACCAGGCTTAAAACCTGACAGCAACGGAAAATATTTTTCTTTAAAAAATTTTCCTTTACTATTCTCCAGCAAGGTTCTGTCGTCTGCTTTAGTCTGTCTCCACTTTCTCAGTTCTGCCCCCACCCCCTCACCTCCTTTGCCCCTTCCTCTGAGCTCCTGACTCTTTCTGTAGCCTTAATTTCTACTGCTACTCCTTGGCTTCTTCTTACTGCTGTCTTTCAGCCACATCCCTAATCTTACGGTAGGAAAGATCAAAATCTAGCCTTCTCGGATAGAGGTGAAAAATCTCACAGGTCCTGTGTGCAAGTTGCGCACATTAAAGATCCCTTGGGGGTCCTAAAATCGATAAGAGTAGGCTTTGGTCGCCATCCTGGTAAAATTCAAAATTCCTACAAAGCTGAAAAATGTTTGGCGTGTTCCGGAAGCTCATACATGCATGACCTTATGCAGGTGCGAACGCCGTAAGACACTTATTTTAAGAACCGTTCACAATTGACATCCGCTAGTTGACGTCACCCAAAATGACGTACATGTACAATTAAATAGAACATGTTCAAATCTTGTTTCTAGCATTCTCAATGAGCTATTTGGAGATAACTGTTAATTGTAGTTTTTAGGCCCAAAACAAAACACATGGTCCAATTTAGTTTAGCAGTGTTAATTTTAGGCCAAGAAATTGTGGTCAATCCTATTTTTTTTTCCTTTCTTTTCTTTTATGTTCCCAACCTTTTAGAGCATCACGGTTGACGTCAACTTTGTAAGGAAGGGCCCCCCTCC